CGTTCCCGCGTCTATCGTGACCTGAAAGATGGATGTGAGAGGGAGAAATTATGGAGTTTGAGACTCGGGACTTCCCAATTAGGTAACCCGAGGGGTGACGGGAGGGGTTGAAGGGAGGACGAGGGGCACGGCCGCCGGAGGATGTGATTTTTTTTGTCCATCACACGGATGAGCGAGACATCCAGCTGGAACGGTCGATAAATCCACTCCTCGGTGGATTTGTCTCTTTCGCTCTTGGGCACGGATGCGCGGGTAAAGGATCTTGCTGGTATCTCTGGGTTGGTGGTTTTTGTATCAGCTTTCTCGGGCTGCGGTCGCGGAGTTTTGGAGAAACTTTGGGAGACGATGGGGACCGCGATGAGGGGAACCACTGTAACAGTTGAGGCTCAGGAAAACTAGCGTTCTAGAACTGTCCTTTTTTGAGACCGGCGAGTAGTTCGAAACTGTTTTGGGAAGAGGTTGAGAAGAGGGGACATCCCTGGGGGGCTTGTGCGAGATGAGTCCGTTAGAACCGTGACGGGTTTGAGGTCGATGGTTGGTTAGAATCTCCTGCTACTCTCAAAGAAAAGAGTCCGGCGCCGGTGTCCCGGGCGGCACGGGAGGGCGACGGAACTTTGATGATTGGCGTTTGGATGAGATTGGCGCAATTTGGGACGTTGGTGGCGGCATTGATTGATGGCCCCGACACGGCCGCAGCGTGCACCGCACCGCACCGACCGGCGGGCGCATGGACGGGTGCCAGCGGGTAGCTCAATGTTTGGATAGGGGGGATAGGGATGAACAAGACGCTGTTGTTCACTGCCTCGCTCAGGATAGAAACATCGTGGACGAAGAATACGGGCGTTACGCGTTTCTTTCTCTTGGGTGAAGTTACTGGGTAGTGATGGAAATGTGGTCCGGTCAAGATCACATCAGGGACGGCGGGATGACACGCGGCGGTAGGTTCCCGGGTGTCTTTCCGGTAGGGAGAGACGGTGGGGGGTCGTAGTGTAGCCAAGCAGCGAATGCGATTTTCATCAAGAGAGTGAACTCAATGTCGGATCACCATTTGCCTGGTTTCTGACAGCGCGCCCGTTCATGTGATAGTGGGGATCGTGTTACGTCGTTGAGCATGTTTGTTGCGGTGTCGTCGTCGACGTCGTTGTCCAGTGAGACACGTCGTGCAGAGCCTCGAATGCTTAGTGCCCCCGAAGAACCGAACGGCGGTGTTTCGCTGTCACAGCCGATTACGCGAAACGCTCGATTCGGGCGTTGACGCTGACGCAGAGACAGCGACTGGTGAAAGTGAAAACAGGTTGGCGGGTGTCTGGACAGACGGGTGGGTGGTGCTACGTCATGTCTCGCAGCGCCATCGCGCCGCGCCCGCCGCCGCAGCAGGTCGCAGGTCGCAGGCGGGAAGCAAGGCAAGGCAAGATTGTGCTGTCTTGTTCGTTACCGCCGCACCGGTGGTTCGGGACCCGACCAGGAGCAGCGGTTCAGACGCGCGAGCGAGAGAAGAAAGGGTGTGTAAGGAGGGAATGGGCAGGCTTCAGCGATCCCTCTCGCCAGGTTCCGTTGTTCGGATGTTGGGCCCGGGAGACTCAGATCGGCTGCGCCACCAGGGCACCCCCCTCCCCCTGGGCCCTTGGATTTGGCAGGGGGAGGAATGGGCCAGGGGACTGCCCTGATTGAGAGGTTGAAGGGCCCTGAAGCTAGCAGGGGATGGGCATGCGATTGGCAGCTTGGCTGGCCAAAGTCATGCGAAGATGACAATTTGGAGGGGTTTGTTTTGTGAGCGAGGGACTGAATTCTGCAGCGGTCTTCTGATGTGCGCTGAGGTGAGAGAGACGGGACGGGCGGGATGATACTATGACACATGGCAGTCAAATTTCGATGGCCGATTATGTGTGATCAGGGTCAAAAAGGCCATGACTGAGCCTCATGCGTGAGTGGCGTAAAGTGTGAAAAACTCAGGGGACACCGAAGAGAAGAAATGCAGCGAAAAATTGTCGACAGGAACGAGCCAAGGGGCGGATGGCGAACATGTCGTTATCTGAATCGGCCCTACGGGACAGCGATTCGCATGCGAGATGGCATCTAGTGTATCAGTCAATATCTGCTATCTGAGGTAGGGCAACCGCCGACCGGGAGCTTCACACCCTCTTTTGCGCGGCTTTAGCCTCAAAAGAGCGTGCCATTCACACACCACCACCCCCTTTCCGCCGGTGACGGGTTGAGCTAGCAGCGGGAGCCACTGTGAACGGCGTAGGATAGCGCAGCCAGACAGATCCCGCCGGCGCGGTGGGTTTGTTGAGGGAACCACGGACACCGACCGCGAACATGGGAGTGTGGAAGAGTTGGGACGGACTGGCTTGGATTTGGCTTGGATTTGGCTTGGCTCTTTGGTAGAGTTTTCTGTTGCGCCGACAGGGCTACCGTAGTTTGGGAATAAGTGGGAGGGAGCTCCGGGCACGGTTTGACGAGATTTTCTTGCTGTTGCGGCGAAGAGTGTTTGTAATGGTGTTTGGGCCGGCCATTGGCTACCGGTCGGCGGTTTCTTCAAGAGCGCAGAGGCGAGAGCTCTCAGCTCGGGGCCTCGGACGGCTGTGTCGTCGGGGAACCCTTCGTGTCGCATTGCGGATGGACCTTGGCTGAGCTATCTTGAGGCCAGAATAATGGGTAATTGATTTGTTCACCTCACCTTGGATGTATCGGCGATTGCCAGTGTCAGCTCAGGCCACGATCTCTCTTGGTCTGGGTCTCGTATTGTTTCGTCCTACTCATCTCTTCTGTGTCCTGTGCCCTGAAGGTCGGGCTAGTCCACCTCAGGTGAGAGCAGACGCCAACGCCAACAGCAGACCGACCTTCGATACGGGTGATAACGCACGACATGGAATTCCACCGCATGTCTTGGTCGAGGCACGTGTACGCCGGGACGGCAGCGCGAACAGCGGGTGACGGTCTGCAACGCAGGCAAGAAATGGCAATGATGGGCGCCGTAGCGCGGACAGCTCAGCAGAGCTACTGCTTGGCTCAGCGCAGGGTGTTCTGATGGCATGGGGGTCAACCATCACGGTGAGTGCCCGTGGACGATCCAATGTGCTGTGCGTGTGTCTGGCAGACGGGAGTCGGGATGGGTGATGGCGGCATGGCGGCATGGCATGGCATGTTGGTGGGAAGAGGAGGAGGAGGGGTGTCTATTGGAAAGAACTGGAAAGGCGCTGAGACAGGTGCAGAAGTACGTACATCCTGAAGAAAGGTACGTACTTCGGAGGATGGGTGGTCGATGCAGGGGCACCGTTCGCCGTGACAGCAACCACTTCAGCGCTCTCACAGGCTACTACTGCCAGGCCAAGGGAAGCCGCCGTGAATCAAGCCGTCCACTGTTTGACGGCGTCTCCCAACGTGATAGGCGTCGTCGATAGGGGTTTCTGCGGCTGGTTCCACTGTTTCCTCCTTCTAGCGGCAAGGCAAAACGTTCTACTATGCAGTACACCAGCACTTGCCTCCCTCCATCAGGTCTTGCCTCCTGCCCAGTCCAGTCACTGCCTCTTGTTCCTGTTTAATCAGCAAGTACGTACCGATGTATCGAAGTACCCTGGTATCTTTACATAGTATTCAATATCTGTTCCTGCCACAAACAATGCACACACACAAATGGACATCCATACCAGATACACACCACAGATAACCACACACACACACACACACACACACAGCAAAGTTCAACCACCATCGTCGACTTGCTCACTCGCTCCACTTCTCTCTGACGACTGCTGTGGACCCTCGTGTTTTTTTTTTCACTCTTTCCTTCGCCTTTCTTCCTCACACTTTGTGATTCCTGACCTCTGGGACCCGCCAGCCGCTCCTAGTCACCACGCCCGTCTCCCCTCCCGCCCCTCCTTGGCCACGCCCATGACGGACAAGGCAGGCCGGCGACAGGACGAGACCTTGCGCGACAGGGCAATGGCGTGGGTGGTGGACAAGGGGGCGTGGGCGATGGGGTTTTTCGATGGAGTCCACCACCATCATCACCACCACTAGGCACCGCAAGACGTGATGGAGTCGTCCGCTACCCTACCTGGGGTCCATGGTCGAGGTCGAGGTCGTCCATCGAACACGCTTCAGCACTGAGCTGGTCCCGACCAGGAGCCATGCGGATTCTTGCGTGATAAGAAGAATGCCGTCCAACCTCGCCAAGTCTCTGCCAAAATTGTACAGAGTATCCATCCAAACTACGTACATGCCTACCTTGCGTGTAGCCTGTACGCAGAAGGTCAGGTACATACACACACACCTTGACGACGCACTCGCTCGGGACGAGAAACACCAAGCAGTCCCCGTGGATCTTGCCTTGGGCCCTCCGTTGTCTGTGTGATTCTCGACTGGAGCTGGAGCTGGAGCTGGAGCATTTGCACCAGCTTGCTTGCCTGCTCCATCGTCTAGCTTCTTCCCCGTCGCTTCCCTCTTCTTTTTGCCATTCATTACGTCCCATCTCTCCGCCCCTTCCGCCTGTCTGTTTCTCAGCTTCTCCGTCCTGTCTCCATTGATCATCCCCTCCTCCCCTCTCTCCCTCTACCTCTATCTACCTTGCCTCCTGCCCACGAACTACCTCTACCTACATCCTTCTCCCACCACCCACGATCCCAATTCTCTTTCCCTTCACACGATGATCACTCCTGCTGCACGTAACCGCTACCGCCGCGAAGTCCACTGAACGAACGAGCGCCGTACCTTCTACCCGCAAGCACGTACAAGCACTGGACCTACACGCACCTCTCGTCAGGTACACACCGACCCCGACCGAGACGAATTACACCACACCGAACGAACCGAGTCCGACTTCCCGTCTGTCCAAACGGCATCAACCCGCTAGCTTTGTTATTACCCGCATCCGCAGCAACCTCAATCTATCTTGCGTTGTGCATTCGTACTCCTGTCCACGGAAATCTTAATCGAATCAGACCACAACAGCATCCCAACGGCCACGCCGGCGCCGATCCCTTTCTATTTTCGGCACCATGTCGGCGCCCGCGGCGAATCAAGACCCCGGGCAATCGAGCTCCAGCAGCTCCAACCCGTCTCCCCAACCCGCCGCCTCTCCCTTCGCCGACCCTTCACCACCGCAACAACCTCAAAACCAGCACCAAGATAAGCTCCATACGCCGCCGCTGCTGAATCCTCAGCAATCAAACGTCCCCTCAGCCAAGAAGGAGAAGAAGCGTGTTGGTTTTCACGGCGACGACAGACCGCCCAGTATTGTAGTTGGCGACGACTATTTCTCCCAGAACATGTCTCCAGAGGGCCCCGACACCAATCCGTTTGCTACTCCCCGACGAGATGTGCCCGAGGGCGCTCCGGACGCCGGCGAGCTGCGCCGTGCTCTGACCCAGGTCCTCATCTCAGAAAGTCAGGAGGAGGCCGGCCCCTCAGATACCCTCCGCCGCCCCCGGCCAGTATTGCGCCGTAACACCAGCTACGATGCCCCGGAGGAGCGGGAAAAGGCCGACGCCGCCGAGCGCAGTGCCGGCGAGCGTCAGCAACGCTCCGGGCTCGAGGCCCGTCAACGTGCCGACAGATTGGCCGTCAGTGTCGAGAACTACTCGTCCCCGCCCTCGCGCAGGAACTCTCTCGACATGGCCAACAACCCCTTCAGTGACGAGACTGACGAGGACCTCGATCGCGTCGGCGGATTGAGCACTGGAGTACAGGCGCCCAACAACTCGCGCCGCGCAATACGCAACCGTCCCAGGAAGAATTCCCACCTGGCTGCGGAGAACCTCGTCAGGTCACACACCCAACGCCAGAAGAGGGGAAGAGGCCAGCCCAATGATTATTTGAAGTATGCACCTCCGGCTGGTGCTCGCTCTGGAACAGCAACACCCACCAACGAACAGTCATATGCTCATGATTACGTCCCGCCGCCCAAGCAGTACCATGGCGGAATCTTGTCATCGCTTCTCAAGCTGTACAACGAGAATGGCAGCGGTGGCAGCAGCGGCCTCAACACCCCCGGGGGCACTACTCCGAATCACTCGCCCCCCGGATCCAAGCCGCCATCTGCCCCGACATCTGCACCACCCTCCGCGCCGCCGTCGGCTCCCGGGTCCCCACGCCCGTCTCGACCAAGCAGCGGCCTCTTCAGCTACCACAAGCAGCAAGGATCTAGGTCTTCCATGGCCCTCACGGAGCTGCTTAAGTCGTCCTCCGCCATGATGGGCCCTGGCTCGAGTGCCTTCTCAGCTGGCTTCACCGAGAAGATCAAGCAAGATGCACCCAAGCCCAAGAAGAAGAAGTCCGGCTGGGGCGCGTCTTCGCCTAAGAGCAGATCTGACGATAAGATCAGGATCACCAAGCATATTGCCCAGATCCTCTCCCGGCATAAGTATCTGGTCAAGTTGTGCAGGGCTTTGATGATGTACGGTGCCCCGACTCATCGTTTGGAAGAGTACATGAAGATGTCGGCCCGCGTCCTCGAGATCGAGGGCCAGTTCTTGTACATCCCTGGCTGCATGATCATCAGCTTCGACGACAGTGCTACGCACACCACGGAGGTCAAGATTGTGCGCTCTGCCCACGGTGTTGATCTCGGCAAGCTTCGCGACACCCACCACGTATACAAGCTCGTTGTCCACGACCTCATTAGTGCCGACGATGCAACGGTCAGGCTGGATGCGATTATAGGCCGCAACTCCAAGTACCCAAGATGGGTGCGCGTACTGACGTTCGGCTTCGCGAGCGCTTGTGTGGCTCCCTTCGCTTTCTCCGGTCGGTTCATTGACCTCCCCATCGCCTGGGTTCTGGGTGTTCTGGTGGGATACATGCAGCTGTACATGGCACCTAGCAACGAACTGTACGCCAACGTATTCGAGATCACCGCTTCCATCTTGACGTCTTTCCTGGCCCGCGCTTTCGGCTCCATCAACAACGGTTCAATCTTTTGCTTCTCGGCTCTAGCTCAAAGCTCCATTGCCCTGATTTTGCCAGGTTACATGGTGCTGTGCAGTTCTCTGGAGCTCCAGAGCCACAACCTCGTCGCTGGTAGTGTTCGAATGGTATACGCCATGATTTACACACTCTTTCTTGGCTACGGTACCACCATAGGAACAGCACTCTACGGCATGATTGACAGACACGCCGAATCACGAACGACGTGCGAGAACCCCCTTAACAGGCAATGGTATCTTCTGTTCGTTCCGGCATTCACATTGTGCCTCTGCATCATCAACGGCGCAAAGTGGAAGCAGATGCCTGTCATGATTGCCATCTCCCTCGCCGGGTTCCTCGTCAACAACTATTCGTCGGACTTCTTCGTGGGCAATGCCCAGATCTCCAACATGCTGGGCGCTCTGACAGTCGGCTTACTCGCCAATCTCTACTCTCGCCTCGGTCGTCACGCCCACAACAAGTGGCTCGACTTCCTCGACTGGTTCGACGTGCGTATCAAGCCTCGCTTCGTTAGCAGCAGCCGTCGCCACAACGAGTACCAGATGTCGGGCCACAACAACGGTATCCACACCCCTGATGAGTCGGCCCCGACAACGCCAACTTCCACGACCTTTGCGGACCCAGAAAAGCCCACGGAAGGAGGAGAACCTGCCAAGCGGACGCGCACTATTGGATACGGCTTGGCTGCGGCGGCCATGTTGCCCGCAATTTTCGTGCAAGTGCCCAGTGGTCTTGCTGCTGGTGGATCCCTCCTTGCAGGAGTGACGTCAGCGGATCAGATCACGAATAATAACGGCACCACGGTCGACGCGTCCAACATCAACAACTCGGCATTCGACGTCCTGCTCAGCGTCATTCAGGTCGCCATTGGTATTACCGTGGGACTCTTCCTGAGCGCTCTTATGGTCTATCCACTCGGCAAGCGACGCAGCGGTTTGCTCAGTTTCTAGAGGGAACCTCCGCTCAGTCTTGAGGAGAAGCTTCGGGCAAAAGATTCTTTCGAGGTCTTGGACGTGGACGAGTTCGGGAATGTTTTCCTTTTCCAAGCAGAAGAAGAAGAGGTGGATCCTTTCCCTGAATACACAGTCACAAGATCGAGAAGGACAGTAGCAATGGCTGTTTGAAGCCCAACAAGTGAGGTTCTTGTCGACATTGTCGACAAAGATTCACAATGTCGAAGCGCTTCATGGCCTTGTGGCATTTTTTATTGTAGTGGATGGACGGAGATTCGGAAACATTGCGTGGGGATATTGAGGTTCAGAACAGGAAACAGAAAAGCGAGTATTGGTTTGGGTAATGGGTGTTGGGAGACTTTTCATTACGAGTGTTTCTTTTGTTCAGATCAGGCATTGGCGCAACGGGCATGAATAGGCTACGGAAGCACAGGTAACGACTTTGGAGAGCGCTCGTATGCATTAACAGGCGGCGGCGAGCACCTGAGAAACAGGATTTATTGTCATAGACATAGACAGACTTAGAAGACCCAGAGATGGGCGTGTAACATCATTATGCACACAAAACTTTGCCCAAATCATTGCGACACTTTCTCCATTTGACAAAGCCTTGTTGCAGACGCCCGTGAACGATTGAAGCCCATGCCAGCTGTTTTGGAGCTGCAACTAATGCCGGGTGCTTCGGTGCGCAGCCTGGAAATGTTCTAGGACAAAGTCCTACGGGTGGCAGTCCAAGTCCTGCCGGATCTCGGCATCTCCAGCTGCAGGGGTGCGGCCACCCCACCAACGATAATCTTCCAACTGTGCCGCCAACCAGGGCAAACGACCTTCCATTTTGAGACTTGAGAGCTGCTCAGCTTCGGTCAAGTAAGATGGTTATAAATACGCAGGCTTGGCGCGTTGATCTGGTAAACCGTTCTCATTGCCGTCGTCTTCTTTTTGTTCTTCAAACTGCAAATTCAGAAGTATGGCGCACTCTTACCTAGCCTACACCCGCCTCAAAGCCGTCATCTCGGCGCTGCGGTACCTTGACGGGGAGAAGCCGGCGCCGGCACAACCTGATGAGGTCTTTACGATCACGGGGAGAGATGGGAAAAGGGAGATTAAAGTCCATGTTTGTAAGTTTTGCTGCGCTGCTTCCCTTCCCCAGACTTGAACGGGGACTAACATGTTTTCCTGCTGCAAAGATCGCCCTGAAAGCCCAACAACGCCCACGCCGGTGCTGATCAATTTCAACGGCGCCGACGAGGCCTTCTGCCGGCACGTCGCGCGGCACACGTCGTTCACGGTGCTCGACGCGAGCTACGCGCTGGCGCCGGAGGATCCCTTCCCGGCGGCGGTGGAGGACGCGCAGGACGTCGTGGCGCATGTGCGCGCCCGTCCGGGGGAGTATGATGTGGGCAGGGTGGTGCTGTGCGGGTTCAGCTCGGGGGGCAATCTGGCGCTGGCGGCGTCGCAGGGTGCGGCCGGGGCCGGGGGGGAGGTGAGGGGCGTGGTGGCGTTTTACCCGCCGACGGAGATGCGCACGCACCCGGCGGAGAAGAGGATGCTTGCCGGGCGGGCGGGGGCAGTACCGGGCGTGAGGAGCGCGGTGATGGGGATGTTGAGGGAGGCGTATCTGAGCGGCGGGGAGGCGGAGGCGGGGGATGCGAGGGTTAGTGTTGATCGGGCGCCGGAGGGGGCGTTTCCGGAGGATGTGGTTGTTATCACGGCGGAGGGAGATCGGCTTGCGGCTGAGGGGGAGAGGTTTGCGGCGGGGATTGGAGGGGGAGGGAGGAGGGTTGTTTTGAAGAGGTGCGAAGGGGTTGGGCATGGGTTTGATAAGATGGAGGGGGAGGAGGAGGGGAGGGCGAGGGAGGAGGCGTATGGGGTTGTTGTTGAGTTTCTGAGGGGGGTGGTTGGGGAGGGAGGGGGAGGGTGTTGATGTTGGTTTTCGTGTGAGTGCGACGATCAGTATAATGAACCGGCGTGAGAAGACGGTGTTGAGGATGTTGGAGAGATTCTGTTGGAATGTTACTTCGTTGGAGGAATTGGTAGCTCTAGATCTTCCCACTTGCAGCTTGGGAACTACAAATGCGTACCTCTTCTCAAATTATCGAAGCCAAGGCTGCAGCAGCAAATCTTGATGGGAAAGAACTTTGCCTCGCGTGGTTCTAAAAGTTTGGAGGTCTCGCCCAGCTTTCGCAATTACTATCTTGTGCCAGCTTGGCATCGAGACATGGCTCACTTAGGAACCGATGTTAATTACATTGACTTCGGCAACCTACAGAGCTAACTAGTTGGGCGTCTCCGACGCAATGGGGCTTCGGGCAGAGCTTCTAATGCCCAAGCCTCCTCTTCGGACGTCAGCCCATACGAACAATTTCGCGATTTCTTGTAGCTAGAGATGAGGGGCCGATCACAGACGAGAGCTTGTTTGGGTTGACGGCGTCTTCAAGCAACCCGTTTCGGGGCCGGGTTGTAAACTCATTCGAGCGAATAGGTCACAACAACCATTACTAGGAGTCGGACATCTGACAAGACGACGATCGAATCCCGGATGTAAAAGAAGATAAACGAGCTCCGACATTCCCCAAATACGAATGCGAGGTGAGTGGCTTAGTTTCCCGCCTGGAAGCTCGCGGCGCGGAAATTGAATCACCAAGAAATCGGCTCAGGCGTAACGATGCCAAGATTCTAAGCCTCACTTCGTCATTGAAAGCTGCGTGACTCGGGCCCCGTGACTATTAAGAAGCAGCCTGGCAGACTCACTTAAAAAGCGAGTTCTCTGTAAATATCAGATGTTAGACATGCACACTTATCCTCAACCTCGCAGTCGCAGTTACAAAGCTTCATGATGAGTGTCTCTACCAAATTCAGTATCGCCCTTCTGGCGTCGGCTTCCTATTTCCATTCTGCCGTCGGCCAGTTTGTAAGTCTCTCAGATACACACACCGTGTTGCGAATGATACCCAAAGCATCATCTAACAGTCTCAGGCTTCGCCGTCACCATTGGAAGACACCGGAGTAGTCCTCGAAAGCCAGAACGTCACCGCCGAGTTCTTCATCGGAGCTCCTGCCCAAGTTCAAGCTCTCCCGAAGAAGACTCGTTACATCCCAGACGTTGTTGGTTTTCACCAAGACGGCGGCAACACCAGAACAAACGATTGGGACGGTCCCTTAGGCACATCGCCAAACGTCTCAAGCCGCTCTGTTGCCATTTCTGCTCAGTACTGGCACAGCGAAAACCGCCTCACGGCGCGCTCCGTCTGCACTGATGCCACGGAGCCCTACTTTTGCATCGCGGCATTTGACCCGGACTCCATGGACATGCTGGGTTCCTGGGCCCCTGAAGACCAGACCCTGCTGTCCCCGTACGCCGCAGTTGCCGGAGACAGGGTTATTCTGCCGACAATGGAGAGGCATATCTTCCAAGTCGAGCGTGTTGATGAGGCAAACTCCACGAGGTTCAACCAGATCCGAGACATTGACCTCACTGCCATCTTGCCTCAAGGTCATGGTGTCGTGAGCAGCTATCTCGACGAGGATGAGAACATATGGTTCACATCGGTCGCTCTCATGACCACCGGCACCGCCGAAGACTCCTCACGTCTCGGGTACGTCACCCCCAACGGAACAGTCCACACCATCACCATCGACGGCCAACGAATCGAAAACTCAATCGCCGTAAGCGGAAGTACAGTCTACCTCAACACGGGTCCTCTTGCGTTTGACGCCGCACGAAGCACCGTCGGCGACATGTTCGCCTTCCGTGCGGATGCAATCGACGGGCACATCAAAGCTCTATGGAACGCGACCTACGACGCGGGAAGCGCTCCCAAGCCCGGCGGCTTCTCGCAAGGGTCCGGATCGACACCCGCCCTCGTAGGAGACAGATACGTCGCCATCACAGACAACGCTGACGTGCAAGTCAACCTGCTGATATACCGCCAAGTCGACGCCAGCGCAGAGGGCCTCGTGAGTGGCCAGGCACCGCTGGTCTGCGCGGTCCCGCTGTTCCAGCCCAACGGCAGCGCGAACGAGAACGCCATGGTCGGCTACTTTGACGGATCGACGTACAGCGTGCTCGTGAACAACAACCACGGCGCGCCGGAGCTGCAGGACCTCGGCGCGACGGGGGACGTCAACGGGGCGTTCAACGACTTCGCGCCGCTGGCGCCGGGGATCACGCGCGTGGACGTCACTGCCGACGGGAGCTGCGCGGTGCGTTGGGCGCTGGATGTGCGGTCGACCAGCGTGCTGAGTCTGTCGACGGCGAACGGGCTCGTGTACTCCTACACGCAGGATGAAGAGCTCGCGGGCCAGGGGCTGTATGTGTGGTACTTCACGGCGATTGACTTCCGGACCGGAGAGGTTGTCTGGCGGATCCGGGCGGGGGCTGGAGGGAGGTATAATAATAATGTGGCGCCGACGCAGATGTCGCCCAATGGAGCGATTTACCAGGTCGTTGCGGGAGGTGTGACTTGGCTTAGGGATAATTAGACGCGTGACTTTGAGAGTCGGGCTTCGGTGAGTAATTAAGGGGATGCTCCCGTTCGCAGGTAGGTTGAACATGGGCCTTGGAAGTAGTGGTACGTAGCTTCAGTCAGATGCAAGATGCAAGATATGGTTATTCAGGGGCCATCTGCCAGGTGTTCAGCTGTGGCGTTGATGAATCTACTGGGCACGTTGTAACAATCACACGGGCTGCATTTGGGGCACGACGCAAAGCTCCGTACAGCTGAGTGTGCACATTTGACAGCCAGCAAAAGACAATATTTTTGGCTTTCAACCATTTATCGGACAATATCGATGACCGACTGGGTTGGACAACTGCATCTCGAGTCCCGCGTATAGTTGAGACCGCGCTGAATATGCTTGGCTTTTACGAGGAACCGAAGACCTCCATCCAAGCCATAGCCTAAATATTGCCGGTACTTTGATTAAGACGCAAATAGTACCGACAGTCGGACGAAATCTTGTTCTGTTTATAGGACAAGACGTGTTCAAGCCATTGACCCCGTATTGGGTGTTGAGTTCATCCGTCTTAGGAACCTTGTTCGGGGAGGTTGTTTTGTTGGCAAAATATTAAATCATCAGGCTCCTACCTAAGGGCCTGATCCGCAGCTGAATTTGGAACATCAGATGCAAAAGGTCGGCATATCTGCCGCAGCATAAGTTAATCGTAAGCTTTGTATCAAGCTACTTGTACCGTGAAGAGGGAAGACGCCCCTGGAAAGCGTCCAGAGCATGCGTTCATTGCTTGAACTTAAGTTAAATGACCCAAATACCGTGCCTTCTTTCGAGATACATTGTATAAAAACCCCCGAATGCAGGTGTCACATAGGATTTTGAACTTTCTGTACATCTCCTCACTGAGACGACGAAGCGCTGTGTTGGGTTTATGTTGGCAAGACACATTTGTGACATTTTCAAGACTGCTGGTGCCAAAGGACACCATCACAGACTCAATACCAGACTGCCTACTAAGATCTAGGGGCTTTCAACGCAATCCAATGATGAAGACCCAGAATGTTTTGTCGGAAGTGACGGCAGAAGCCATCTCAATGCTTATATAGCTAGAATTCTTCGAAATGCCATAAAAGGGGGCGATCTCAGCACCCCTCAAACGCCGTTCTTTGCCATTCCAACACCACACGCTATCCTCTTTAAACAAAAATCGAAAAACACGATCTCACCACCACGCCCTTACAAGAATCAACCTTTATTGCGCAAACATGCGAGCCAAAACTCTTCTCATCGCCGTCTTCGTCGTCTCAGCTTCGGCCCTGCCCGCGCCAGATGACGACGAAGCTGCCGACGCCGCCCAGGGATCAGTCGCGAGCCTCGCAGCCAAGAAAGCACCTGGTTTTCCAAAGGCGATTGCAAATTCTCACCAGAGTGGGAAAAGACACTGCCGCCGGACCTGCCTTGAAGAGGGGCGAAGCAAGTGTGGAAAAATCGAAGACAAGATTGTGGGAAAGGGAGAAACCGAGATAGGGCCTTGCGCCCTCAAACTTCCATTTCCACCAATTTCCTTCTTTATCTACAGCCGATCCAACTGTACTTGCAGGTACGATGCTAGCCCTTACATATTTTATAAGGGAAGAAGGTTGCGAGTACCATGAACATGATGGGGCCCGTCATGCTCTAAGACAAAAGAATATTGTCTACAGAATCAAGCAGCTACTGAGAGACCACGCTTACAAGCTCACAGGGATTACAAAGTAATTCAAGTCATTGTGCCCGCTTGACAAAGTGGGTTGGTTCGCCGCTTGACACTGGCGGCAGACGGGGGTGGCGAACATAGGACTGGAAATAATTTAATCGACTTGTTTGAGCGGTGGGACGGGACCAATTGCCATGGATCACCAACTGCGACACAACCGGGACAATGCAAAATATGGCAATTCAATGCTGAACATCACATCGAACTCCATTATTGAGGCAGTGTTCTAAATGGCATTACATAGTGAGCCAGTAAGAGTACCTATGTTTCAGCACAGTTTTCAGACAAGGTACTCAGCGAACACAACTAAAGTCCACGCTTAATCTTGATAAAAAGAAACACACGTACGTGTTTGCCTCAAAATGCCTACCGCCACACTAATAACACCCCCAAACATCTGTCAATGGCTTCGAGGCTGCCGACCAGCCCCTGTTTCCCCGACCTCCACCCAGCTTCGGTGTGCGAGTCGCCATAGCCGGCCCTTGCTGCTCCGGTCCGCCTACGAAGTCTACATTTGAAGCAATACCTAACCCATCACCACCCATGGCAAGATCATACCACCATAGCTAGCCCGAAGCGATCAGCATGCTGACCCTAAGCACGACCAACAATCAGACAGCAGCAACGATGCTTGGTAGGCATAGATTGAAGCATAAGGTGTTTTTTTTCGCATTGGCGTGAGCCCCCACAGATTGGATCTGGCTGAGCCCAAATGGCAGGTGATAAAACCCTCGTCAAATGGCGGAGAAGTATTGTCTTCGCAATAGAGCTGCAGGACTGGAACGGCCGTGAACGACTCCTAGTTTGAAAAGACTACGGAGAAAGCGATGAAAGTCTTTCGAAACATTTCCAAAAATATCTCAACGACATTCATTCAATTGACCGCTTGGTGGGGAAGAAGCCCATTCACAACAGCGAAGAGGAAGCTGGCTGGGACAAAGAGCAGTGAGTGGCCGCGCTGGTCCGACCAGTGGACTTTGCCAAGAACAAATATCGTGCTCAGCGACATTGCACTTACCACATCGGCCCCAGCAACGCCCAATGGCATCGCCAAGTTGCCCGGTTGGGGTTGCGGGACTACCGGGCAGGGTAGCATCAAACAGCCGGGCCTAGCTGGGTTTGGCAGCTCCCTAAGCTCAGTCGGGCTTGGCGATCATGATAAGCTTAAATCTCCTGCCGCATGCTAGCCATTGCTCCGAGGGCAATATGAACGAACTGCCTCTTTGCTCGTCAGGGCCAATATAGAGCGCAATGGCGGAGGGGACCGCAGCTGGTTGAGATGCCTGTTTGGGGTAACGGGTCCAGCCGCCCTGCAGAACGATCCTCCACATCCCGAAGACAATGACGCCAGGTCGCGCGGCAGTCTCGTGAGGGTATTCTGTGTTCTTAAAGGGGCGCTGTCGCCCAGCCTTTCTTGTTGGCTTGGAAGAGTTGCTCTCGCTGTCGTCGCCTCTGCCTGCATCTGCCATCACACCCCGGACGCGCCCTTCAACACCAGGACCATGCATCTGAACTCCGCCCTCGCCATTCTCGCGGCCTCTTCGAGGCTCGCGCTGGCTTCCCCGGCCACCGACAAGATCGCGATTGACCCTGCGCTCCGCCTGATCAAGACGTCCGAGACCGACCCCGGCACCTGGGTCACCGACGAGCAGAAGATCGAGAACTACGTCAACAAGCACATCGGCTTCATTGACATCACTGACATCACCGTAAGAGGCCATCAATGCAGCCATTCCTGACTGTTTACTGACTTTCATCAAGGATCCCGAGGTCCTCACTGCTCTCTCCACCCCGCCCGAGGCCGAGCTGGCCACGAGACAGTCTACCTACCCTACGACCCTGACCCACATCACCGAGGCCAACTCCCTGATTTCCTCCGTCTCCAACACCAACCCCCAGACTTGGCTCAAGACGTTGACCGAGTAAGTGTTCGAGTCCTCTTGCTATCCTCCCAGTGATACTAATCCACATTCGCAGCTTCTACAACCGCTACTACCGTTCTTCCTACGGCACTGAGGCGGCCACCTGGTTGTTCAACCAGGTCAAGTCCGTTGCCGCGGCCAACTCCGCCATCACGGTGTCGCAGTTCACCCACTCCTTCAGCCAGCCTTCCATCATCGCCAAGATCCCCGGAACCAGCTCTGACATCGGTATGCTGCTTCAATGATGCCTGCATCAGATCTTTCATGCTAACAAAGCGTAGTGATTGTCAGCGCCCACTTCGATTCCACCGGCGGTTCCTCCACTGCCCGTGGCCCCGGCGCTGACGACAACGGCTCCGGTGTCGTCGTCATCCTTGAGGCCCTGCGCGTCCTCGCCAACGCCGGCTTCAAGCCTCAGAACACCCTCGAGTTCCACTTCTACGCCGGAGAGGAGGGTGGTCTTCTCGGATCGCAGGCCGTCTTCGCCAACTACAAGTCCGCCGGAAAGACCGTTCTCGCCGTCGTTAACCAGGATATGGCCGGCTACTCCCCCTCCGGCAAGGTCTCCGTCTACACCGACTACGTCGACTCTTCCCTGACCTCCTATGTCCGCCTCGTCGCTACCCAGTACACCGGCAGCACGCCGACTAGCGACTCCTGCGGCTACGGATGCTCTGACCACGCTAGCGCCCGCTCCAACGGCTTCCGTGAGTTTCACCGACATGCAGTAGCATATGTGAGCGGTAGTACTGACAGTTGTATGCAGCCGCTGCCTATGTCTGCGACGAGCCCATTGACACCTCCAGCCCTTACATCCACAGCCCTTCAGACGTAAGTATTCAGCTGTCTCGAATAATCAGAATATTGTCTCTAACGTGCCGTAGTCCTACGACACTATCATGTGGCCTGCCATTCTGCGCCACTCCAAGTTCACCGTCGGTTTCCTGGTTGAGGCTTCTTACCTGTAAATACTTTACAACCTGTGACTATACCACAGCAGCACATACATATTTTGCACACCGCATGTTGTCTTCGTTCGCGACTTCCGGTCCTTTGTTGATATCTACCCGGTCATCCGGTCCCACGTGTCAAGACAAGTCGCCGCGGGCATAGTTCCCCGCCCAAACCTTCCCCATTTGGCTGGCCTTTCCCCCGATGCAACTGCAGCCAAGTCACACCTTACTCCAACCATCTCCGTCAATCGGACGTGGAGTAACCCAACAAAGATTGTGATAGACTTACCAGGCGGGTCTAGACTATCTAACAACTAGGTGTGCTGCGTGATACATATGTCAAGTGCAAGGCGTGCCCCACATGTCTTCTCCAACTTGAGACACAAAGGTTGGATCGCGTAATCTAGATGCACATATGACTCTTACCAGATGCCGTTCTCGGCCGGTCTATCGGCAAACATATATAAAAAGCCAGGACGTGTAGAGCCGCGCTCTGAGGCAATGGTGGGTTCCAGGAATAGTCCCGATTGAGCTTAATCTAAGTGCCGCGCGCGTTGAGCAAGATGGGCAACTCTGAGGAACAAGTGCGGCCGACGTCTGCTCCAACATCGGCTCCTCCTCCGCCGGAGGTGATTGAGCTCGGGACTCCACCGAGCGTTCGGTCCGGTTCCAGCCAACGAGATCCCGAGTCCAGCCCGCTAGCATGGGTATGCGTTGTCGGGTCGTTCATGTTCCTCTATCCTAGCTATGGTATGTTCAGCAATCCCTCATATCGCATGCGACTTCTTCCGCAAAATTTGCTTTTGGCTGATGGTATTCAGGATTCATGCAGTCCGTCGGGACGGTGCAGTCGTATCTTCAATTGAACCAGCTGAGCGACTATACAGCTCGTGATCTCGGATGGATTAGCGGCATCTTCACCTCTCTAGGTCTCCTTCTCGGCATCCAGGCCGGTCCGCTCATGGATGCCTATGGCACGAGACTCCTAGCGCCCATCTCCGCAGCTACCCTTGTTCCGTTGTTCTTCCTCCTGGGCGAGTGCACAGAGTACTGGCACTTCATCCTCTGCCTCGGAGTCTTGGGCGGCATCAGCAGTGCGCTCACTTCCACCGTTGCCATGGCCGTCATCGGCAAGCTTTTTAGCCGCCGTCGTGGGCTTGCAATGGGTATGGCTCTGTCTGGGTCATCTTTCGGTGGCGTCACTTTATCAATGATGTTCCGTTCCCTTCTTCCTAAGCTCGGATGGCAGTGGACCATGAGAGCGACAGGCTTCCTCGTCCTCGGCATAATGGTGTTGGGGGTGATTTGCTTCCTTCCATTTCCCACTTTGACTGCATCCTCATCCTCTGCTCCCCTCGGGGGAAAGAGTGCCACCCTGAACTTCTCGGCGTTCAAAAGTCCTCCATTCGACTTCATGACTATGGGTCTCTTTCTGCTGGAGTTTGTCCTCTTCGGTATCACCGGTCTTCTGCCCACCTTTGCCATCGTCGCTGGCTTCCCGTCCAGCATTGGGTTCTCCCTCATTGCCATTCTCAACGGATGTTCATGCTTCGGTCGCATCGTTTCAGGTATGGCTGGCGATCGACTAGGTCATCTTAATGTACTCCTCTTTATGATTTTATTTACGGTCAGCTTCACTGCGATTATTTTGGTTCCCTTTGGCACGAAGCACATCGGAGCGTTATATGCCTTTTCGGCGTTATGGGGTATCGGGTCTGGGTCTTTCCTTTCAATCACGCCCGGTAAGAGACCGTTTCCGAAAGTGCTTTGGAAAACCCAAGACTGATGCAGTGTTTAGTTTGCATCGCAAAGACCTGTGACCCAAAAGACTACGGAAGATACCTCGGTAAGATTCACCCTGAACTATACCATTCCTCGAGCTATTCCACTCATATTTCAATCAGGCACCATGAACTTTGTCGTCAGTTTCTCACTTTTGATTACCGTGCCCATCGGCGGACAGATGTTGGAGTCTATGGGCGGAACTGCTCTCTCTGGCTTCTACGTGGCTGTCCTTTTCCTAGGCGGAGTCTCATACTTTGCTGCACGATCTTTGTTAGTTGGTGGCTGGTTTACATTTAGAACTAGGATTTGATCATCTGGTTTCGGAAGGGTTGCCAGCGTGGCATGGCGCACAAGACTCATGGTTAGGGCTCACATTCCGTAAAAGTTGGCATATGTAGACTACGGGAAATTGTTTATGAACCAAGGCGCTTGACCTAGGGACTGGAGGCATGGCGGGTATTTGGTTAGATGGAGGCTAAAAGAATTGTTCGGGGGGACAAGGTAATGGACTGCGCGGTCTCGCGACATCTCATCTCACATAATGTAATGATATTCAAACAGTCCATCATGTGAGCAATGAATTGGAATCAAATTCACAGCGAGAAGGCCAAACCGTCTTTCATTACTCATTTGATACAGCGCAGACAAATACTTGGCGTGCAGCCCGGCTTGCAGCGGGTGCAGTCGGGGTTTCACGGCAGTCGGAGCAAGCAGGCTGTCATTCGCGCCTTACCAAGCTCCATATCGTATCCGATGACCAGCGGCCGACCAGGTTCCCCCCATTCAACGGGGAGTAGACCCGACTATCGGAGAACCCGGCTTCCTTGCTCGACAATTCCTTACCTTAGCGGAACGGCGCCGGGTCCGCTTCTCCACTTTCAGGGCTCCAGATACCCTTCGGGGACAATGATGTAGTCCGGGCGTGCGGGGGCGTCCTATCTGTCCGAATCCTCGGCCTTATCATGCCGAAATCTTAGTCACAATGCCGCTCTCGGCGGCAAGCTGCGGGCTTAAAAGCCCCGCGGAATGATGACAGGTGCAATCTGTGTTTCTGCTTGCGGTCTTCCATGATTGTGACAGAATTCAAAAGCGCCTACACTACATCTACAATTCTCAAACATAATGGGCGACGCGCAGGGCATTCAAGACGGGACTAGGGTCAGACCTCATCCACTTGATCCTCTCTATCCGGAAGAGATAAGCATTGTACGTGTGCCAGCGAACGGTGACTTGAAAAGAATGAGCCCTGGTGAATTGACTTTCGTCTCGCTCGCAGGCGGCCGACATCATCCGGAGATCGGTTCAGAATGAGCAGGTCTTCTTCAGAGCCATCTCACTGGCTGAGCCTCCTAAGAAGGAGATGACGGCGTTCCTTGATGGCCAGCAAGCGGGCGATAAGGCTTTGGCACATCCAGTACGACGGGCTAGAGTTCAGGCCTACATTGGCAAGACGTTGCATGAAGTCATGGTTGATCTGAATGCAGCCACAATTATTTCCAAGGCATCCCTTCCAGATAAACACTCGTTCATCGACACCGAGTTTATGGCCCAAGTTGCGGCGGCGTGTCTGGCGGACTCTGGGATTCAGCAAGAGATTGAGACGCTGAAGCTTCCCGAGGGAGCGACGGTGGTTGTCGAGCCTTGGGCATACGCTACTGATGGAATGAAGGACATGAAGGATCGATGGACTATGGTGATTTTCAGAATCAGGCATCTCAGCTGAAAGAAACTGACCTTTCGCAGGCATGGTTCTACATGCGTCTTTCAGAGAATCCCGACGCCAACTACTACGCTTATCCACTTGATATCTGTGCCGAAGTCTCGAACTCGCTCGAGGTTGTCAAGATATACCGGCTCCCGTCGGGAGAACATGACAAGATCCATGAAGAAAAGCTAGAGTTCGACCGTCGAAAGATTCATTCCGACAGCGAGTACCATCCAGACTTTATTCAGGAACGAAGAACAACAACGAAACCTTATCATGTCTCTCAGCCGGAAGGACCCTCGTTCAGCATTGATGGAAATCACATTTCGTGGGAGAAATGGACCATGAGAGTTGGCTTCAACTACCGAGAAGGCATGACTCTACACGACGTTCGCTTTGAAGGTCGTAGCCTGTTTTATCGCCTATCCCTCTCGGAGATGTTTGTACCTTACGGCGACCCACGGTGTCCCTACCCGAGAAAAGCAGCTTTCGACTTGGGCAATGACGGTGCGGGAATCAATGCCAACAACCTCAAGCTAGGCTGCGATTGTTTGGGCCACATCAAGTACTTTGACGGATGGCTCAGCACGTCTTCCGGAGAACCTCTCAAGATGCCCAACGTGATTTGTTGTCATGAGATCGACGATGGCATCTTGTGGAAGCACACCAACTTCCGTACAGGGAATGCCGTCGTGACGAGATCACGTGTGCTTGTGCTGCAGACTATTATCACGGTCAGTAATTACGAGTACATCTTTCTCTTCTACTTCCAGCAGGATGGGTCCATCTTTTACGAAGTTCGAGCAACGGGAATCATGTCGACGGCGCCGATAGATATCGATGCCAAAGTGCCGTGGGGCACGGTCGTGGCGCCTGGCGTTCTGGCCCCTTACCACCAGCACATCTTTTGTCTGAGAATCGACCCGGCGATCGACGGTCATCGGAATTCGCTCGTCGTCGAAGAATCTCAGCCGATTCCATTCACCGGAGAGTCCGATGAGTATAATTCCTTCGGCGTCGGGTACACCACTAAGTCGGAGTACGTCAAAGAAGAGACTGGCCTCGATCTGGATTTCAACACGAACCGAACGTTCAAAATTGTCAACGAGGGAATTACTAACCCAACCACGGGCACCCCAGTCGGCTTCAAGTTGCTGCCGCACTACAGCCAGCTGCTCCTGGCTCATCCGAACTCATGGCACGGCAAGCGCTCCGAGTATACTTCCCACGCCGTCTGGGTGACGCGTCACCAGGATGAAGAGCTCTTTCCCGCCGGCAGGTTCACGATGCAATCCTCCGGCGGAGAGGGCATCGCGTCTTGGATCAATCAGCGGAAGGAAGAAAGTCTGTCCTCAGTCCGCAACGAGGATATTGTCGTCTGGCATACGTTTGGCTCAACGCATAACCCGCGCATCGAGGATTGGCCAGTCATGCCGTGTGAGAAGATGATGGTGGGACTGAAGCCGGTCAACTTCTTCCAGGGTAACCCTGCACTTGATGTCCCCATCTCGACGCAGGACAAGAACCGCAGCGTGCTAGTTCACGGAGGAGATTGATTAGAGTTATGGAGTTGGGGGTCCAAGGTTCCGCGACCATAGCTTGCCATTGTTTTCGACATAGATCTCAAATAGACAGAACGTTGACGCCAGTAAAAAGTGGCTCTAAGAGTGGCTCGAATACTAGTCTGGTATCGGATGCAAATTATGATGGGTAACTATGTTCATTTTCTTGAGATCTGGTCAACTTACAATGAACGTTGTCATCAATTTAGAACAAAGTTTGGGGCTGAGGGTCGCGCGATCCACCCACAAAGCGTATTAAGGCGACCAATGTCTAGTTTCGGACTTCCAAAACCACCGGTTCCGTAATGATAAGGCGGTCAAGTTACGAGTTTTGATGGAGTCCGGAACTCTCCGCCTGAACCCCCTGACTTATGCGCGTGTTGCACGTGTCTTGAGTCATTGTCAAGTTGATGGCTGCCCACATCCTACACAAATAGCTCCGCGCGCCTGGGACGACTGGCGGAGTCAAATACCTTGGCATCTAGGGAAAGGCGATGAAATAGACGACAGCTGTGTCGAGTACTCGACTTGTCTGAAGATCGCAATCTTGGCAAACTTTATTTCTGGTGGTTCAGATCATATCGATTCAGAACCAAGTGTGGTCGGACATTTCGGCGTACCGAAATGTTCGCTTAGTACCGCTTGACCGCCATGTATATGAAACTGCAATGGGGTAAAGGCGCAACTGGGAAGGTAGACGCGAACAGGCGGTGTTGCAATTGTTTCTACACTCATTAAAAACTGTGGAAACTGTATTGCTGCGCTGTGCTCAATCGCATGCACAATCACCGAGCTTGAACTTGAGGGTTGACATGGTCCTTTCTCACGAGTGAACCGTCGAGTGAACTGCAAGCAGAGAGTTCGGCCGAAAATGCGCGCGGATTGGCACTTGGCAGAATATTCACCTAGTCAGACGAACATGATCTGCGTGCTGCAAGAGATGTCTTGTGTCTCAGATCGTCTCTTGGGACGAGTCTCGGAACCCCACGGAGTCCTGCCGCAGTTGCTTCAGATCGTTTGCGAGTCAGGACTCTGGGGTCATCCTTCCCCGGTACGGCCGCCGGGACCAGACTCCTGGGCCCCGTCAATTAAGCATCATTCACAACCGTACTGTCATGGACTCTTTGTTCGAAGGCTTTTAGAATGGGTAAAATGAGTTCATGGCTTCGTACTTATAAATGACCCAACATTTCCACTCATTTCACCTGCTGTCTCTTCATCCCATCAGCAACTCCTTATTCACACATCAATACTTTCACAGATTCTGCAACATGCAGCTTACTAAATTTCTTTTCACGCTGCTTGCAGCTGGCGTCATGGGTCAAAGATGCTCTGAGACTCTGACATACTGCACCGGCTCCGCCTGCCTCTGCTTCGCCGATGGCGTTGCTGAAGAGCTCAACAAGATCTGCAAAGCCAAGGGCTTCGAGCGTTCTCTTGGTCCCTCCAAGACCACTGTCGGCAACGTAAGCTTCCCCGCGGAACCTTCACACACATACATCACTAACATTCTGGTTTAGGCGGAGCGCTGCGACCACCAGTGCTGCACTGGCTAGTGGGGGAGGCATACTCTTATCGATGTTGCGGAATTAGCGTTTTGATTTGTTTAGCCCAGGCTGTGTTTGGGTTTATCGTAGATTTATATCCTAGAGATAGACAATCTATGCAATCCCTTCAGGGGCTCAATAACTTGTCTTTTCGTCATCGTCAAAGTGACAATGCTGTATGGCCACCTATTTGTTGTTTGCAGACCCGACTTAGGAATCATCTTTTATCTGTTTCAAATTCACTTCCATCCTGGAAGTGTTGTCTAAATCTCATAGTCCAAAGGTCCAGGTCTTATTTCAATGATCAATGTGCGGAGTCGACGGGGACACAGCGCCAGGCCAACCCCCTGTCATGCAGCTATTATCAAATCATGCCCAATCATAACAGTACCAACTACTCGGGAGCTACTGTTGTAAGCTCTGCGGTTAGCGGTTGCATCAAAGCTGCGCTAATGCATTCATAATAAGACTCAGAAAATCGCTTGCTGTGTGTGATGGAAGTTATCGAATTGTTAATTCGCACATATCACTGCCGGCGTATCTGTGTTTTCAGATTGGATTGATACAAGAGGTTTCTACAACCTACTTCTCTAAATTACCACGAAGCTCAGTTCTTGTGGCCGTTGCTTTGTTGGGGAATCTCGATGTGATGGTTTGAGAAGTTGTCCACCAGGTCATCCCACATCTTAGGATCATGTTCATGCTTTTCTTTGCTGTTCCATGCCCAGTCAGTAATAGTTAGAGCTCTGCTGGTCTCGAACATGAAAGCAATAGAGCCATGAGAGATTTGCATGACGGGAGGATCCTCCTTTGACGCAGCAGCAAATTGCTCGTAGGCAACTCCGTGGGGGACGAAGCCGCATTCAAAAGAGATGCTACCAGGCTGGAACTCGTCGGACCGTCCACCATACTCTCCGTAGATAAGGCCCATGAGCTCGGAAGCGCAATTTCGGTGGTAGTAAGGAGGACGGTAAGTGTGGGAAGCCACGTCCCAGCGAGGGGAAAAGATGAGGAAATCCGCCAATGGCGCGGTTGGATCGCGAGACTTTGCTGTAAGAACACAGAAGATAGACGGATCGATGTGGTCGACGGAGATAGATCCGACGTTGACGAACTTGGTCAGGTCGTATTTATAAGGAACGTAATTGCCGTGCCAGGCGATAACGTCGAATGGGCAGTGACGCTGAGTGCTCTTGAAGAACTTGCCTCCCAGCTTGTAGACGGTCTCCCACGGGTCGTCCTTGGTGACCTCGTACGCGGCGACGGGGTGCAGAAAGTCACGGGCGTTGGCCAAGCCGTTTGCGCCGAGGGGACCCAACTCGGGGAGTTCCCAGTTGGAACCCCAGATCTCGAGGATGTATCCACGGGTTGGTCCCTCTACCTTGACCTTGAAGCGGAGGCCACGTTGGATGACGCAGATTTCTCCCGGTTGCACGTACAAATGGCCGAACTCAGTCTGAATGTCAAGCGCGCCCTGTTGGGGCACAATGAGCCAATCGCCATCGGAGTTTACGAACGCCTTCTTTGACATGCTCTTGTTACAAAGGAAAACATGCGTTGCGAGGCCTTCTCTCAGCGTGGGGTCACCGGAACCAGCAACAGTCTTGAGTCCGTCAACGAAGTCGACTTCCTCACCCTCAGGAATGGGGTATGGCTTCCACGCCAATTGGGTAGGCGAGATATGGACACGTGGGTTAATAGGAATGAAAGTTGACTCTGTGTCTTGGTTGTCAGGAAGGGAAGTCTGAGGTTCTGTTAGTCCTATGCTCCTGGAACTCCAACATCGATGCACAGATGACACTTACGAAACCCTGGTGAGCTACAGCAGGCCGGGATCGGTAAAGCCATGCCTTCTTGTTCGCATGTCGGGGCGCGACAAATGCGGAGGCGGTGATCTGCTCGGCGTAGAGTCCATATCGGATGCTTCGGGGGCTGTTCTGTCCCTGTGGGATGGTGCCGGGAATAGCCTCAGATTCGAAGCTGTTTCCGAGACCAGGCTGGTACTTGTAAGGGTCATTAGGACGGGTTGCAAAAGACGGGATGGTGCCGTCCTTCTGGCTCGCTGCCCAGTGAAAGGCGTTTTGAAAGTCTTTCGGGGTGAGTGCTTGGGCTGCCATGGTGTTCCGTGATGAGTGAAGTTGACGATCACAAATGCTCAGACCGTGTGTTCCCTTCCAGCTAAATAGCGCAATTCTTAGTGTGCTTTCAAATTCATTGGTAACCGTTTCAATGCCTGTGGACGGAAAAGTTCACCCCACGTGGAGTGTTACGGCACTTACTCCACATGCACACTGACAGCCCGGCAATTGAGCTCTGCAACTGGTGTGGGGTCCGTCCATCGTGACAGCTCCAAGCCTGGTGGACTCTGACACGAACGAACGCCGCGGGACTCCGTCCTACTTGCGTGGGGGGTCTGACGGAGCGAAGTGTAACGAATGTGGGCGCAGCGGGCGACCGTATTCTGGAATGAGACTGAGGCTGGATTTATCAAACGCACAAGCCCGAAATGCTACTGGCCATGGTACTTTGCATCCAAAAGATTGAGTTTCACCAACATTCCTTGCTGCAGGAAAGCCAAACTCTGTCGCCATGGCATTTATTCTATTTGTTGTCTTACCCTTGATCGCATGTTTGTCATTCAGCATTATCTCTTACAGAAACTCTCGCCCTCCAAAAAGCTACAAATCAGTTCCCGGGCCAAGGGGACTGCCTCTAATCGGTAACACCCATCAACTGGGGAAGGCGCCGCAACGTCAACTCCAGAAATGGGCCAGCGAGAATGGCGAGCTTTTCAAAATCAGGCTCGGCTGGGAGGATTGGGTCTTCGTCAATAGCCCTGAAGCGGTTCGAGAAATATTCGACAAGCAGTCTGCAAAAACATCAGGCAGGATGCCGATGCCGGTCGTATCCGACCTCCTTTCTGGGGAAAACCGACTGCTTCTCCTGACATATGGCACAAAGTGGAGGCAGCTGAGAACTATTGTGCACAAGCTGCTGACACCGAAAGCATCGGAGACTTACAAACCGTCGCAAGATTTTGAGGCGAAGCAGTTGCTTTTCGACCTTGCAACCGACAACGATGATCAAGAAAGCTTTTATGTGCACGTTCGCAGATACACGACCTCTGTCGTATTGACAAGTACATATGGCCGGCGAGTTCCAGCATGGGTCAGATAAGGTGCTCAATTAGAGTCTGAGAATATCTACTGACTGATGAACCAGGATTGCGACGATATGCGAGAGATATACCAGCTCCTGAAAGACTTCTCTGAGGCAGCAGAACCCGGCGGGTTTGTAGCCGACCTATTCCCACCTCTCGCCCAGATTCCATCATGCCTGCAATGGTGGAGGCCAAGCGCTATTGCGGCGTACAACCGGCAGAAAAAGACGTGGATGCGCTACTGGGATGAGTTGAAATCTGCTGTGAATCAGAAGAAAGCTCCCGAGTGTTTCGTGAAGCACTTTATAGAGACAGATTTTGAGAAGCTTGGAATCAGCGATGTCCAGGCTGGCTTCGTGGCAGGATGTAAGTACCGGCTTCCGCGTCCGCATCAAGAACAAGAGGCCGTTTCGTGTGGCTAACCTTTTCATTACCCTCTAGCGATGATTGAAGCAGGCTCAGAGACAACATCATCTGCACTCAACAGTGCAATTTTGTATTTGTCAGCCCATCCAGGCGTCCAAGACACAGCAAACGCTGAGCTCACGAAAGTTGTCGGAGACGACCGATCTCCCACTTTCTCTGATGAGGCTGATTTGCCATACATCCGGGCCATGGGAAAGGAAATCCTTCGCATCCGACCTGTCACCAACATTGGAAGTCCCCATTACACGACCGCGGACATTTTCTACAAAGACTATTTCATCCCCAAGAACACTGTGGTCGCTATCCCACAGTATGTCCTCCATTACAGTTCAGATAAATGGGACAACCCAGAAGCCTTCGATCCGTCGCGATACTTGTCTTATCCAGAGAAAGCAGGCTTCTACGCCGCCCAAGGAGATGCCAAAAACCGCGACCATTTCGACTTTGGTGGCGGCCGGCGCATTTGCCCGGGGATGCATCTTGCAGAAAATAGTCTCTTTGTCACTCTTGCGAAGATTCTCTGGGCTTTTAAGATCGAACCGGCACTAGATCCGAGTGGCAACCAAATTTCCGTACATCTCTCAGATGATGCATATGAGCCGGGTGTCAATACGCTGCCCAAACCGTTCAAGGCTCGGTTCGTCCCGCGGAACACGCGACGGGCAGAAGTTCTGAAAGCTGAATGGGCTCAGGCGCAAAAGGAAGGATTCTACTTGGGAAACGTAAAAGTGAATACGGATGGCATGGTTGTCGGATGACGTTGTGGACGGAGTAGGACGGAAACTGAGCCTCCAGCATCCGTCTCTTCGAGTCAGTGGCAGCGTTTCGTCCCAGCAACTGCATCGTCAAGCGCCGCAGGCTTCCATGGATCAGATGGATACATAGGCCAATTAAAACCCAATTAGATACGAGCATTTGCAATGCCGAGTGTGCTACACATCTGGTGACGGAGATCTGCTCCACAGATTTCCCCGCAGTGTCCATGACTGGTACTGTTAATAAGATATTATTGATCACCGGCAGTAGTAGCGCGGCCCGCGAGCTATCCCCGCGTCCGTCTTGGCGGAGTGGCGATCGCAGCGAGATGTGTTGTCCCGATCTTTCTCGTGGGTCAAACTGGCCTGCTTACCGTTTCCTTATCAACTCATTCATTTCACTTTCGCGATAACCTTCCAGCCTACGTCTTTGTCGAAGACATGTGCAAACACCGCGCGACAGATTCTAATACTGATGTCTTCCGCAGTACCCCTGTCACCCAACCCCAACGCGGAAACCGGTCCGCCTGCGACGCCCCCGGATGCCAGCGCCGGGGTCAAGCGCTCGCGGCGTGAAAGTAGACAGCATAGATGCGCTTACTGTCCGAAGGTTTTCAAGCGCAGCGAGCATTGCATCCGGCATGAACGTAGTCACACGAACGAAAAGCCTTACTCGTGCCAGTATTGCCATAAATGCTATGCCCGGAAGTAGGCTCGTCGCAGTTGTTGTCTAATGGTGTCGTTTGACTAACGATGTTCTTCAGAGACCTAGTCACTAGACATGAACGGACACTTCATGCAGATGCCGCTGCCATCACAGTGGGAGGTCATTTGGAAGAAGAGTCTCAGTCGGAAGATACATCGAGCGAGGCGGAAGACGAACGCCTACCGAATGCTCAAAGTCGATCTCCAAGAAGACAAAGTCTATTTTCACCAGAGAAGCGCCGCAAGAAGAGTCCCCTTCTAACAACAAGGGATGCCGGGAGTATTACTGTCGCAACTGACACTGAAACTATCACAACGGTTGGGCTAGACCTGGCTGAAGGGAACGAGCCGGTACCCCATGGAGTACCAGCTCTGTCAGAGCCTCGGACCGAACAACAAACAGATCCAAGACCGTTGGATTCTATGGGCTTCGCGAGCGAAGACCTCGCTGCATCGTTTCCAGACGCATCGTTCCCTTGTCCGATCCCGCCTTCAGTATTACCTCTACCGGATGGGACGCTTGATTTCTCCCAAGATCTGGGGTTTCTGAACTCTCCAAGCTGGCTCGCATTTGGTCTGCCAGACGATCCCAATTCTGTGTATGACGTGCAACTGAACAATTGCCTCGATACTGCTACGAGAACGGCGGCGAACGAAGTGTCACCAAACTCAACAGCATGCGACTCTGATCTCTCTATGGCCGACCCCGAGCAAGTGAGTACAGCGATGGGGCAGCAGACCTCATGCTGTTTACCATATGGCAAAAGAGCATCGGCAGCTTTGATAGATAAGGCTGCGTATGCTTCCATCTGTGACGAGCTTTCAAGCCAAGCTGCGAAAAGTCGAGGAGTAAAAGACTTGCCCACTCTAAAAACATGTCAAAACTTCCTCGCAAGTTATATGGGAAGCTTTCACTGCCATTTGCCTATCCTTCATTTGCAAAGTCTGGCTCTGGGGACGGTTCCCAGTGCTCTGATTCTAGCGATGTGCAGCATTGGCGCGTTGTATCGACTAGATCGGCGCCGAGCACGTCGTCTGTATGACTTGGCTAGAATATTGGTCGAACCGGTAAATGTCTCTTTCAGCCTAAATTGAATCACGCAGACTGACTGATTTGCAGCAGGTCGTCATAAAGGACTTCCCGCTGTGGTTCACGCAAACCAGATTTCTCTTGACCTTTTATGCTACCTTTAGCGGTGACCAGGACTTGGTTTCAACTTCCACGGATGAAAGTGGATTTTACAACCTGGTGAGATTTTCAAACTTCTTCATGAATCGTTTTGACAAGCTGACTTTCCGCCTAGATATACAATCAAGCACGCAACAAGCTCAACAGCGAGAAAGCCAAACTCTCCACGATGGAGTGGTCACACTGGATTGAACGTGAATCATGGAAACGAGTCCTTGGGGGCATATATGTTGCAGGCACTCTGAGAATGGTCATTTATGGCATCAACCCTATCTTCAACGCATCTAACGATTTGGAAGTGGAATGTTTCCATGAGGAACCCCTATGGAACGCACAATCATCTAGCGAGTGGCTAAGTCTACGGCCAAACCATGAGCACCAGGAGGTCGGCACCATGAGGGAGCTGGTGGAAGGCGTTCTATCAGATGATCAGAAGCGCAGCAGACTTGACATCAATCGAGTCTCTCATTTCTCATTGCTGATACTCACACACGCCGTCATGGTACATATGCGCCAGCTCTACCAGGTATCGCAGACGTCAGCTCTCTGCGCATTCTCCAGCCAGTCGTTTCTAGGCCAGTCTCTGTTAAAGACGGGCTTAGAATCTCTTTCGAGGTGTTACAACTTACTTCAAATGCCTCAACAAGACAGACTCGAAGACCTGGATGACAAGGAGATTGTCTCCCTACGTTTTTCATCTTATGGCATCCTCAGAGCTGCGTACATCCGACTGTTTGACATCACTACAGGGTTCGACCGGCTCACCTTGATGGCCGAGGATCCCAAAGTCATCGAAACATCAGTTGCTATTTTGGCAGATGCGCCACTCGACAGAGACCGTTTTCTTCTCGATGCCGTAGAGAAAACGCTTGAGGGGTTCCAGATTCCATTCAGAATGGGACACATGCTGATGCGCAAGACTGCCGCGTTCCGATGGAGTATCGAGCACGCAGTCGCAGCTTGGGATGCTGGTAATACTGATGGGATCCTTCTTTAGGCTTTGTGCTAAGCTTTATGTACAGGACTGTTTGTCACCAAATGGGTGCACTCGGTGGAGATCGATGCAATAAATGGCGTTGAACCAACCAGGGCGGAGAACGAGCTGCTTACGGCAATGAAGGAGGTTCTCGAAGAGGCGGACTATGATCCAGAGGAGAACAGGTCGTTTGCGGCGGGACTTGCTCGGACCTGGAGTTTGTTCTTGCAAGACGTAAGTTTTGCGAGCTCTGGAATCCTTGAATGTGCGAACCATAACTAACTAGTCTCGGGATAGGTATGGGTTTGGGGCATCACTGTGCGCATGGGAAAGGTTTTGGAACACCTGGCAACTGCATATGAAAACCATAACGAAGCACAAAGGCAGAAATGACAGAATCTCGAGTTCTAATCGATATGCAAGCCTTCATAAGACGCAGCGTTGAAATCGTTGTAGCGGGGTAGTCTTGTGGCAATTGACGCCCTAAACTTTTGACGCTGCTCGAATCTCTTCATCTTACTCAAATGCTCGATTTCTTGAAGTCAGAGCTAAGTCTCAGCTCTTGAGCTGAATTTCCTAATTCGCTGACCAGTGACATGACATAACTTAGTACTCTCAGTAGACCTTAGAAAGTTCAATTGGGAATTTTGCTACTACTAATCTGCAGTCTAACTCCTATTAGTAGCTGAACTCCCTTTTTACAAACATCGCAGCTCATCTTCAACGACTTTGATGAAAATAGTCCTGCAGATTTTATGGGTTTTTAATAATGGAAGGAGAGCGTTCCACTACCAGTAACTGCGGTTCGACCTGCCTAAGTAGATTGGGCAATGTGGGGTACACAGCGGGAACCGGATCAGGCCGCAGGAACACCACGGCCCGGGGCGGCTCCCGAGATTGGAAGTGGGGGTAAAGCGAAGCTGCACGCCCGGGTTTCCGATGTGGGGTAATGTGGGGTAATGTCCGGTTGCTTCTCCGGGAGTTTCTTCGGCAATTCAACATGCGGGGTCGGAAGGCTCCCAGAGGTTCCGGAACAGCCGCTGAAGCTCCTGGTTACGGTCTTTACAGGTGCTATCTAGAAGTGAGTTCCAAGTGCTTTCAACATTGTGGTTGCTGCTGAAACAAGGTGTTTGAGGGACCTATGCAAAGGTCTGAACCGCACCAATCTGGATAGAACCTCAAGCCTTCCGTTAACTTGGGTGACTCTTGTGTCTGAATCGTTTAAGCCGCAACCAACTTTGCCGTCTGACTTTATCCTTAATCCGACCGCACACTTCGAAGATCAGATGGCTTCTACTACAATCTTCCAGCATCCTCTCATCGGAGACATCAAGGCAAGCTCCACGGAAGATGTGATCCAATTCTTAGGTATCAAGTATGCGAGCCTCAATCACTGGTTTGACAACGCAAAGCTTGTTGAGTGCGACGGAAAAGGCCTTAGTGCCATTCGTCATGGGTGGGTGAGCCAGCGGCCGAATGAGATCAGGCCACCGGAGCTAACAGAGATCATCAGGCCGCAAGTGATATCTGATCCCGAGGGCGTTCATAAAGAACACTTCATCATTCAGAAGACCCTCCCAGTCAGTGACCATCCAGGCATCTCTGGAACAGAATGTCTCAACTTGAACATTGCTGCGCCAGCAAACTCTTCCAAGGCTCAGTCGCTTCCGGTGATCGTTTTCATTCACGGCGGTGCTTTCATCACAGGGTCAAACTGGTGGCCGCAGTACGACTTGAAGCGGATCGTGCAACTTTCCATCAAACAAGCTCAACCTTTGATTGCTGTCAGTATCAAGTGCGTATGATCTCATCACAGTCTTCTGACGCAGCATTGACGGTTCATCATCATAGCTACCGTCTGGGAGCTCCGGGATTCCTGACTTCAGATGAACTTCGAAAGGAGGGTCTCAAGAGCAACCAAGGCCATCATGACCAGCGAGTTGCTCTTCAATACGTGAAGAGGTACATCTCCGGCTTTGGCGGTGATCCTGACAAGATTACAGTGATTGGTGAGAGTGCCGGCGGAAGTGAGTCTACCCTAACAGCCTCGCCTTCTTAAAGCAGACCAGTTGGAGCAAAGATCCAAGCAATTAACTTGATTTAACTTATCTTTTGCCAGTTTCAACCAGTCGTTTGCTTTACTCAAATGATGATGCACCATTTCAGTTGGCTGTGTTGAGCGGTTCATCCCCGTCACTGCCTCCCATGGATATCTCAGCCGCCGAGGAAGCTTATCGTGGAGCGCTCAAGTCCCTCGGCGCCGAAGACCTGACTCCGAGCCAGCGAGTTGAGACTTTGAGCAGACTTTCACCTGAAGAGCTCCTCGAGAAACTCGACAAGAGTCTTCAATTCTTGCCCGTGCTGGATGCAGAAACGGTGCCTTTCGTGCCGACTTTCACTGCAGTAGAAGCCAAAACGTCCATCCCCGACAACACCCCTTGCAAGGCCATCTTGGTTGGCTATCTACCTGATGATGTATGTAGACCAAGTCATGAAGTGTGCAAAGCTATCTAACCAATGATGAACAGGCGAGCATCTTCGGCCTCGCCGGACTACTCCAGCGGAAACCAGGTATTGGTGCTTCGTTCAAGAAGTCAATTGAGTCATCTTTCTCGGATCACCCCGACAAAGCTACTAGATTGCTGAAAGCCTATGGAATCGGCGAAGATACCAACGATGAAGATGCCTTCAAAGGTGTCATAATATTCGCATCAGACATTGGCTTCCAGGCACCGGCCCGCTCGTGGGCTACCAGCTTTCCTGGCGACTCATACCTCTTTGAGCTGGCCGAGGCAAACCCTTGGGAAGGTCCTTTCAAAGGCTATGCCACCCATGTGCTGGATGTTGCACTCCTGTTCCAGAACTATAGAGAGCATCTGGACGCGAAGCAACAAGCCTCTGCAGAAGCTTTTGCTGCAGACATCATCACTTTCGCGCACGGCAAGGCGCCGTGGAAGAAGCATCGAGATGGAGGCGGCCTGGGCGTATATCGAAACGGGTTAAGAACTTACGAAGAAGACCCTGGAGTTATCTCGGAACAGTATCAAGTGCTGATGGAGGTGAGCCAAACCGTCGGTTGGGATTTCGTGTTGGGCGCTTGGACGAAGTTTTTTTTATTCTCTTAACTGGCAGAAGTGTATCTACTTGAATCGCTATTGAAAGACAATCTTGCATAGGCATTTCCACAGGGTGTTCAAATGATTCATTCGTTTGATGTTCTAGAACTCGGGGGTCGCCGTGTCTGATTTGTGGGGGAAGCTCCGTCGTAGGGCAGAATTGCCTGCCGGTGACGACCGGAGCAAGCGGAGTTGGGGGCTTTGCATGCGGGGTCGGGATCGGAAGCGGCAATTTAGACGCATAAAACCGGGTAGATTGCTCGGCTTGATTTCTTCTTCGATGCCGGTTTGCCATGTTGACACCCTCTCTCGTACATCGGATTTTCAAACACGAACAAAAGTCTGTTGCTTACAATTATATTCCGCCCAATTATCAAATCATCTCGCTGCCGAGGCACAAGGCAGAATTGCTGAATTGGCCATGACTCTGCTGCGACATAATCACTCTAGTCTCGGCGCAACCCTCGTCGGGATTGAACGCCCGTTGGTTGCGCATTTTCGAGGCATACCATATGGCCGTATTCCGTCGAGATTCGCGGCCCCCGAGCCCGTCGAGAGCCTGTCACGAGAGCTGAATTGCACGCATTTCGGGTTGCCACACCTTCCCCGCCGAACAACCGGCTCTTGACTCGGGACCCGCAGTCTGACCAACAATCTCACCAGACCACGATGTCCTCAAGTTCCCATCGATATTGGGCATCTCTTACGCATACCGCCGCACCACGTGCTTCCCGTAGAAGCCGAAGACGAGTTCAATTGTCTCAACTTGGATGTCACGGTACCCAAAGCGCGACTCGGGACGACTGCCGGCGAGAGGTTACCTGTGCTAGTCTGGATTCACGGTAGACCTCCCGATACGAGGGCATCATCACCGTAGGTTTGCTGACCGTATTTTCATGAAGGTGGCTCGCAGGCCGTGACTTTCGGCAGCGCCGCCTCGGGCCTCTGCGGTAAGCGCTTACTTTGTCTCAGCTCATGCACCTCGACTCACGGGGCGTACAGACACGACGAAGATTGTTGAAGACTCTGTACGCATAGGACTGCCCATCATCGCCGTCACCATACAGTACAGACTCAACATCTTTGCATTCGGTGATGATGACAGCTCAGTAAACCTTGCTTTGAAGGACCAAGCGCTGGCGTTGCAATGGGTCCAAAGGCATGTTGCTGCCTTCGGCGGCGATCCTGTGAGTGCTGCCACCGTGTTGATTGCGAATCAATTAAGAACCGCGCTGAAAGTTACGCACAGAAAGCCGTTACTCTTGCGGGGGAGAGTGCAGGAGCAGTTTACTGCCACGCACACATGGTGAGCAAGGCGCCGTTGAATCAATGCATTTTGGCATCGGGGTCTCTGCATCTTTCACCCCCTCAACCGCAAGAGAGGGCCGCTGCATTTCGCTCTAATCTCAAGCATCATTTACGCGATTTGGGCAAGTGGGACTTGCGCACAGCTCCTGCTGATGTTATCGTGGAGGCATTGAAGAGATCTGAGATCCAGTCTTGGTTCCTTCAGACGGAGTGGTCACTTGAAGGATGGCAGGAGAGCTTGGGCGAGGCAAGCCGGCTGATGATCAGTGATGTTCAGAACGAGGTCAGTGAGCTCGAAAGGAAACCCCCAATTAAGTACTGACCTGTGTATAAGTCTGTCCTCTGGCGCGATGGCATCTGGTCAATGGGTGCCAGTGACATTGTCAGCGCGTTTGACATCGCAGGAGAACATCGCGATAAGCTCAAGCAAGCGTACAACATTTACCCGAATAGGCCGTCCTCGTGCAAGCTTGGGGCGCTGGACTTCATCAACGATTACAAGTTCTTGCTCCCTATTCAGGAGATGGTTCAGCTCTGTAAACGCGCCGAGACGCCCGTGTACCGAAGTCTCATTGATGAGGCCAACCCTTGGCAGCCGTCGAATGGTGCGCATCACGCGATCGATCTGATCCTCCTGTTTGGCGGTTTTGACTCGTCGATATCTCCAGCTGCCAAGGCGACTGGCGAAGAGATGCGCAGATCGTGGATTCGGTTCATCCATTCGCAGGAGCCTTGGTCTCCGATCTCAACCGCTGCCTTTGGGCCCTTTGGCATGTTTCAGGAGCTCGATGACACCGAACTAAGATCACGAAGGCGCATAGATCAGGCGAAATTCTTGCAAAGCGTTGGATCGCAGGCGCTGGACAAAGTGTTCCTGGCTCTAGCGGCAGGAAAAATCAGTCTTCTGAATTAAGGCAAGGCAGCCGCCAAGGACTCAAGGATTCCCCGAATTGGAATTCGCTCGGATCTTGTGTCTCAACTGCGCAAACGCCTATTGCCTTCATTGGCAATTGATGATGCACTCCCACCGGCTGCTTTGAACATTCTAATGGCCTTTGCTGGCATCATAGTCACCCCACACGAGCTTTGTGTGTTGCGTTGAATTAGTCTTTACTTTCTAGACAGCCTTGAAGAATACTGGCCCAGAGTTCTAAGAATTTGCCACCGCAGTTGACACCCTGTCACCCCCACTACGAAGCAAACCACCAACAACAGTTGAGCTTCAAGACGAATGTGGTGATAGATCTAATCTAATCAATTAGACGTTGCGCTATGTGGGGGAAAGAACAGGAAGGTGACATCGCTGCTTGTGGGGGGTGTGTTGGTGGAGGTTAACTCCGACGCCCATTGCCCAATGTGGAGGGTGAGAGTGGTGGCTGATGAGGACGCGGGGGACGGGGATCATGTGAGTATGGTTGAGACATTGGACGAGTAAGTAATACCTCGTCCATCAAGACAATCTGTAACAACTCTTCTGTCTAAAAACACATAATCGGCATGCCGAAGACTCGTAGCCGCATCTGCCAGACGACAACAACATCGTATCCGCGACTCATCGACCTACATCCTGCATCTCGGCAGGCCGATACATACACTAGTTCAGGGCGTGAAAGACACCTTAGTCATGTCTGTAGGGCCGAAAAATGTAAGAAAGCTAATCGGCTTTCAACATCTAAGCTTTGACTGACATGAAAGTATAGGTTATCATCGTCGGGGCAGGCCCTGCCGGACAGCTATTAGGGCTGATGTTGGGGAAAGATGGCATTCCTGTCACGATCATCGAACAGAGCTCAAAGCTTGACGACAAACCTCGGGCCACGCACTATGCTCCCCCAGCGATGAAGGTTCTGAATCGCGCCGGGCTTGGTCATCGCGCGCGTGAGCTCGGTTTCCTGCCCGATAGGGTGGCATGGCGCAAGCCAGACGGGACATCAATCGCCAGTCTCAGCAACAAGATCCACGGAGACGATCCAGATCGGCTGCTTGCACTGCCTTTGTGCGATCTGGCGCAGCTCATATACGACGAATCGAAGGATCTGCCAACAGTCACTTACCTTTTTGATCATTGTGTGACGGGCCTTGGGCAGGATGAGAGGAGGGCCTGGGTTGATGTAGAGAACTGCAAAACCGAGGAAACTCGGGAACTTTTCGCCGAGTACATTGTCGGATGCGACGGAGCTAATAGCATCGTCCGGCGGCGTTTATTTGGGGACACGAATTTTCCAGGTAAAACATGGGACGAGCAGATTGTGGCGACAAATGTAAGTTTCCAGTGACACATTCTTCGCTGGCTCAAAGTATCGTCGGGACTAAGCAACGCGCCGCATCTACTAGGTATACTACGACTTTGATCAGTTCGGATACACCGACTCGAACTTCATCTTGGATGCAGAAAACTGGTTCATGGCGGCGAAGATCACCAAAGACGGTTTATGGCGCGTGACATACGGAGACATCTCCGGTCTGTCGACGGAGGAAGTCATTGCCCGGCAGCCCGAAAGGTTCAGGAAGATACTCCCAGGGCACCCTGAGCCCAACCAGTACAAGCTCGTCAGCATTGGGCCGTACAAAGTCCATCAACGCTGCGCCGAAAAGATGCGTGTCGGCCGGTTCCTGCTTGCTGCAGACGCAGCGCATCTTTGTAACCCGTTGTACGTCTTGCCTATCTAAGTAAGCCTTTCATCGCGCATTGATACTGACGGACCGGCGTCCGGTAGCGGGGGCCTCGGCCTGACCGGCGGCATAGTCGATATCGGAGGGCTCTACGAATGCCTCTCGGGAGTCTTCACTGGCAAGGCGGACGAAAGCATCCTGGACGTTTACGACGACGTACGCCGCCAAAAGTACAGAGAAATAATCGATCCCGTATCCAGCGATAACTTCCGACGAATGTTTGTAGTGCCTGGTGACAAGGTACTTGAGACCGATGAGTTCCTAAGGCTGTGCAAAGAGGCCGAATCAGATCAGGAGAAAGCGAGGGAGATGACCAAGGTGAGTTTGGATGACAGGCCACCCAGCATTAGGGTTTGCTGAATTTTTCCGCCGACTTACTGATCTTGGGATAGGGCGCTCAAGCACTGGGCTATGACTTTACGCAGCACTACAACACGAAGACCAACGGCGTCAACGCCCACGTTAGTCCTCATTGAGAGAGAGTCATGCGCGGCGGCAGTGTGCTTTCCTGGCCTGCGCAGGGCAAGTGTTGCCGACCCAAGCTCAACTTGGTTAAAAGATAGTCCAGATGGAGGAGAGCAGGGCAGCATGAGGCTCGAGGCTGAATTTCGCAAGCTGCTCCTCGTGTTGATGAGTGTTTGTCTCTGCATGAACTGCCACCATTACCATTGTCTTGGAAATGTGTAGCCTTGTCGCGATTCGTCTGTTGTATGCCGTAGCCCTATCACTGAAATGCCGACAAGTTGACTTTCTTACACGTAACCGGCAAATGACGCTGCGGAAGAGCTCGGTTTACTAAGCTTCAATCAACGCACAGAGACTGGTTGAGCTGAGCTTTACCTGGAACGAACTTGGAAGCGGACAGAAAGTCAAAAAGGATTGGATGTTGAAACGGGGACCGCAAGCTGATCCGTTTAATGTGTAGCAGGGCGAGGAGCAAACTCGGGGTTCCTCTATGCAAATCAAGGAAGGACCAAGCAGCAGCTGTCAAACAGACCCGACAACGAGGTAGTCGAAGGTAGTAGGTTGCCCAACTTTGCCTGCCCGGCTCACGGATCTCACCAGCACACGCTCCCGTTGCCCTCCCACATCCCTGGAAGCTTCCCAGCGGCGGTAGGTTCCGGCAATGCAGGTACGCTAGCAACGGTCAGAGAACATTTAGGACCTTGTGGATGCCATGACAAACTCCTTCTAGAGTCGGGGCAGGTTCCGCAAGAAGCAGGTCGTTTTTCGATGGTTGAACTTTAAAAAAGCCTTCTTTGTCGCGGAGCGGTCCGACAAGGGATTCGGAGGGTTGAACCTGCAACGTCGAGGTCATGTCTGAAGGGGAGCTTGCTCGCTCGCTCTGCTCGTCAGCCGCGGTTACTCACAGAGGTTCAAGGACTGAAGCGCGCGAGCGCGCTCTTCTCCTTGTGCCAAGGCTGAGTTCGGGGTCGAGGCCTGATCCCGTGGATGCCCAAAGGAGACACGTGAAACAATGCCTGCCCGGAACAGGGCATAGCAGCCTACGAAAAACGAAGTTGTACGAGGGAAAGGACGTCGGGGAGGACTGAACGGCAGCGGCTCAAGTGGTAATATTAAGGTTTGAGGCGTCCCCGAGGGCGTTTGACGGCAATTGCAGCCCCTCGATAGACTGCCCACCGGCGGCTTCTTCGGGCGGGTTTCCATTCGAGTTCAAGGGGGCGGCCGGGAAGCCGGCCGAATCCTTCGAAGGAACACAGAGAGAGAAGGCCCGCAAACAACAAGGTAAGGGGTGAGTAGAGAGAGAGTGAGAGAGAGAGAGAAACGGCGGATAAAAGAGCAGCCCTAACAGAGATTTGTGGCTCAGACTGGCTGTTTCCATGGAACCTTACCGGGTCGGGGATGACGTCGGCTAGCCGACGCCACGGAAACTCTATTCATATGACGCCCTTTTTTTTTTCGGCTGTATTTCTCGGTTTCTTCTTGGCTAAGCCCGCTGAGCCCCTGTTTGTTACTCGGTCCCTAGCTTCAGTCATATGTGACCAGACATGGGCTCCATCGCGGTTGATAGACAACTAGTCAGACTCGTCGAGCGGACCGCGAGAAACCTGCGGGCGCCGACACGCTTTTTAGTGCTCAAAAACACGTGAGAGACGTAGTCGTACAAGCCGTTTGCAAGTGTGGCGGTGATGGCGTTGCTAACAGTCCTACAACGGCAAGGTGCGTGATGCCGAGGCGGATCGTTCTGCCCAGTCCCACCCCTTCCGCGTCGGAAATTCTGCCCACGCAGCAAAATGGTTCTGTCTGCCCATCGGCGATCCCTGCTCTACCAGGTTAGGCTGGCGTTTGATGGGCTAGACTCTGGGCGACGGCTGCTTCGCTCGCTCGACTGATGCCACACGCACCGCCAGAGACGCACACCACCCACGCACTCCCTCTCACACAGGCTTCAGCCGTGGAATACACACATACACACACCTACCTGCCACACACAGGGAGACACACGCACGCTCCAGAGGAACAGAGAGAGACTAAGACAGGCTCGGCTTGCCTTGCTTTGGCACATTTGACCCCACCTCCCAAGAGTGACTGACCTGAACGAACAAGAAGTGGACCCTGAATATCTCTCACTGCATTCTGTTCTCCTTCTCCGCCATTAAAACTGTGCTGGCTCCTCCCACACTTTGCGGTGACACTGGAAGTTGATGCCTGGTGCTGCTACCCGCCCGTAGCAGTCCAGTCATGATACCCAGGAATCAACCGTTTGACAACCAAAGGAACAAGCTTCGATCCGTTCCTTCTTGGGCACAGTCTCTTGTCCCTTTTCCCCAACTGTCTTTTTCTCGGGTCGTCTTCCATGGTCGACCTGCCATGACACTGCGGTAAACCGTTGACTGTCGACTAGTTGCTATTACCCTATATCGGACCAGACCAGACTCTTTTCCGTCAAGTGTCTGGCTATTTTTTGTACACCCGCAAACACCAAAAAATCAATCCTTACCGCCAAGGGAAACAACAGATCATGGCATCCCCTGAACAACAGATGGACTCGCTGCGAGAGAACCTTAGCCGCGTAATTCTAGACCAACTTGCGGAAACGCTGCGGGATTATCCGTCCGGCAGCCTATCGAACCCGGTCCTTCGATTTGAAGCCTTCATTCAGGATGGCGAGACGGAGACACAGGGGCGATCACCCCGCTCTCCAGTCGTCTCGGTAAGTTGCAACTCCTCGGATCTCGCGGGCTGGAAAGCTGCTTTACTGCGGCTGCTGCACGCGCG